AAGGTATTTGGTTCAAATCCAAAGGAAGGTGTTTATTTTTGGATAAAATATGTGTAACATTGAATTCCGGTTTCTGGTCTAACTGGCCGGAATTTCCGGAATTGACCGGAATTGACCGGATTTGACCACAGTTAAATACCGGCCTCTTTCCAGCCGGTTTGATGACCGGTACCGGTTGTACTCGGTTTGGTGACCGGTACCGGTTGTACACGGTATCTAAGCAATAATTCCAATTCGATTTGGTTCGGGTAAAAATAAAAAATCAAAGACGAATATCGAATACAAATGAGCTAAACATAAGAATATAAGATACATGTGACAAAATTTACATTCCCATATTTGTGGGTTTTTTGTCCAATTCTCACATACGTTTAGTCATACGAACATGAGAATTAGACCCAATTACTTCGTTTTTGAAAGTATTAAACCCAATCTGCAGTACACATTTCCACAATCAAACCTTAATTAATTAGTTGTTGGGATTCTCAGCCATTGGGAGAAGAAAACAATGGGAAGGGAAAACTTGCGGTAGGAAAAGGCACGTACATGCATGGGGAGGACACGTGGCGCATGGAAAACTGATCTGTTGCACTAGTTTGGGCTTATTGCGGGTGATCTTTACTTTACTCCTAGTTGTTTTGTTGTCTCTCCATTTGGGCTCCCATACTTTGTACACTAATCTCATTCTCAGTTTATTAATAAAGTTATAAAACTGATTTGTTAAATAAAAAAGAGCGTGCAAGGGAGAGGGAATAAATATGCCGACTACGGGCTTCTACAGGGCACTCCCTACCTTTTGGTTTCCATTGTTCGAATGTTTCTGATCCTATGTTGAACTACTGAATTATGTATGATTTACATTGATCAATGGTAGATTCATTTAAGGGAAGAATCAAATCTACTTTAGCAAATTCATAGTTGGTCGATGACACATTAATTTCCAACATCATAGATATGTCATGGTATATTATGTTTTCAGACAACTACAATTCTATTGCGAATTGTCTGAAAGAAATGATAAATCATAAATAAAGAGCGGATGAACGATGTCTACTCAGCATGGTTTGCCTCTCCACATACAACCAAATCCATTAAGCCACTCAAGAGGAAAATTACTTGCATTTGCCAACATGTAGATCGAACTCAAGAAATTTAGATAGCACAAAATACACATTGATACGATCCTCGAACTCTCACCTACAGAGACAAGAACATAGTTATAACTTATAAGTGAATATGCCATAAGAAGGTTTGAAAGAATCTAACTGATGAACCAAACGTGTTTGAAAATCCATAAAAACACTTGAAAATGTCAAATAGTAAATTATTTTGTGTTGACACTTGAAAATGTCAAACAATTCAATCCATCCATCCATCGCCCATTTCAATTGCAGAAAATCGCGTTCCACCACTCTCCAAACCCACCTCCACTAACTATATAAACTATCGTAATCTCACCTCATTCCAACATCCTCAAACAATAAAACCAAATAAAACACACGATCTAATTTGTTCGCTCTCTTTCTTTTTCCCACCATAAACTAAACCACCAAAACCAAGAATCGCCATGGCCAGCATGCAACAAAGCAGGGCCGAGGGTCAGGAGAAGGCCCAGGAGTGGACCGACAGCATGCAGCAGAAGGCCGACTCCGCCAGCCACAAAACCGCCAGCTCCGCCGAATCCGCCAAGGAGGGTGCCCAGCAAAAGGCCGCCGCCGGCCAGGAGAAGGCCGCCAGCGCCGCGGAGACGGCCAAGGGCAAGGCCGAGTCCGCGGCCGAGGCCGCCAAGGACAAGGCCTCCCGGGCCGCGGACTCCACCAAGGAGACCCTTGGGCTGAAGGGAGAAACGGCCCAGGCGGCTAAGGACAGGACCGTGGGCGCGGCCCAGTCCGCCAAGGAGACGGCCCAAGAAGGTGCGGATAAAGGGGCCAATCTTCTCCAGCAGACTGGTGAGTCGGTGAAGAATATTGCGCAGGGGGCGGTTGATTCCGTGAAGAACACGCTTGGAATGGGCGAGAGGAAGTGATGATTCAAGATAATGCAGGAGCAGGAGGAGGATGGAGAATAAATAAAAAAAACTTGAATTCATAATACAAGTATAGCTCTCTTCGTTTCTCGATGATGAAAGTGTTGAGAGTTAAATTTTCTAAGCTATTTTTTATATATAAGTTTCGTATTTCTTTTTTACTGTTTTTTCTCCCTTTGTGTGTAATGATTTCTGTTTTTGCCTTCCAATTTTGTTCAAAATTGTGAAGAATAGTTGTGATGAATACAAAAATTTATGTAAACAAATTTCGTGCGATCTTAGCAAAGATGTATGGTGTTTTTATTTACTTTCCTTTTCATTCATCAACTTTTTGTTTCGAATTTGAATAATTTTATTATGTGACTTTTAATAAATTACGATAATTTCAAAATTACGGGATGATAAAGATTGATAGTTTATCTATTCAAAATTTTCAAATTATGGGAAGAGATGTATGTGCCATAATGTAAACGCAATTTTTTGCCACTGAATTCATAAATTCTATCTCGTTACAACCAGCCTATCAACAACATTTATGATGTCTACACAAATCTTCTCATGCCTCCAATTGAGTCTCTCCTCCCTTATCCAATTTGTATAATGTTCTCCATCAAATTCGAACCGAACAAAGTATATGTGATATATAGATCTTGAAGAGTTATTCAAAAATTTTATATAAATATTTAGGGGTGATTTGGTAATGTAGAATTTATGCATTTGAGGAATTTATGTACTCTACACGAGAATTTTATAATATTAGAATGTATTGTTTGGCTTGTATGAATTTTCAACAATGATGTATTAGTTTATGAAGTACTGGTAAAACTCTTAAATGGCTCCCTTGCTCTTTTACTTTTCTTTCTTCCCTTCTTTGTAAAATAAAATCCAGTACAAAGAGTTGAAAATTCAACATTTTACTAGGGATGAATTATTCAATACTTTGAGTAGAGCTAAAGCATTGAAGAACTCACATGGAGATGTATATAAACATTACATTGATGTTTAATATCATAATATTGGTTCTAAATAGAATCAAAATAACAATTTTTTTTTTGTTATATCATGTATTCTAAGAACCATAGGGGTAGAATACTATTTAGAGGTGGCAAATGGATTGATCCATGGATTGGTGGATTGGATTGGTGGATCCATGGATCCAATGGATTGGCGGATTCATGGACTGGATCAAGTTGATTGGTGGATTATCCATGAATCCAAATGACATCCTCCACCAATGACCAATATGTAAAATGTGAAAAGTTTAGGTACTAAAATGTCAAAATGAAAAAATTTAGGTACCAAAACGTAATTTTCCAATGATATTGTTCGTATAGAAAATTAAATTTTGGGTACCAAAGTGTAAAATACAACGAGTATAGGTACCAAATTATAATTTGTCATTTGGATCCATGGATCAATCCATGAATCCACCAATCTAATTGGATTTGGATCAAATGAATTGAATTTAAATGGATTGAATTATGTGGATATTTTTAATGGATTGGTTGATTGAATTAGTGGATTGGATTGAAAATTGCCACCTCTAATTGCCAAATTACCTATATTCATTTTAAGTTTTTAACACAACCTGTTCTAAAGAGGGGGCAAAAAACAATGAACAGTGGGGCATAATGGCATAACAGATTAACAGAAGCCCTGCATGCATGGTAGTTCCAATTTCATAATAAGTCGACTATCCATTAGGGCGGAAAATTGCTGCGGAAAATTGCTCCAACCCGTTTCAGATCCATCTCTTATTCTGTCTGACCCGTCTCTGAAAAATCAAGATATATAATTGACCCGTACCATCCCTATCTCCTTCTTGACCCTGTCTGACTCTCAAAGGTTGGGATGGATCGGGTCAGTGGGTCAACCCTAATCAACTCACTAATTTCTTAAAATTTACGTTTTGGTACCCAAAATTATTTTTCTTACAATTTAGTATCTAAAATTTAATTTTTTACAAGTAATTCCATAAATTTTGATGGTAAAATTACGTTTTGGTACCCAAAAAATTTCTTTTTTATAATTTAGTACCTACCCCTTAAAACTTTACAAAAAGACCCAATTTAGTATGAGATATTTGTTGTTACTAATGGTCAGGGGGTCAAAAAGTGACCCGTCCCTAAGTTGTCCCTACCCGTCCTGACCCTTACAAGCTCAACAAATGAGTCATCCCTAATCTGACCCTATAAACAAACTGACACGTCTCAACCCTCAGGGACGGAACGAGCCAGTGGATCATCCAAGTCAAGCTTATACCCCTACTATCCATGATATATATATATATATATATATATATATATATATATATATATATATATATATATATATATATATATTTTTTTTTACAAAAACTATCCATGATATATGATGGATAACATTATGGGCCCAGATAATATAGGCCAAACCTAATATGGAATTTACCTAAGCCCAAAAGGAAAATAGTCAGGTATGTAGAAAGAGCCCATTGCTCCATAATGGATTTCGAAGATGACCATTGTGAATTTTGTGATAGTATCACTTGATTGGTTGTATTAGGTTACCAAAAACTTGTAAGTAATTCTCCTCCTCCTTCTCCTCCGGTTGATTCAATGGTTCCACCGTAATTCTCCAATCTTCTTCCCATATTCCGTAACCAAATCGCTGCATTGACGATTCAATGCTGCTTCTCTACGCATTGTGCATTGAAGTTACTAGGAATTTGCATCTGTATCTATCGCGAAAAATAGCGGATTATCCGATCCACCCGACCCACGCACACCCCCTAATATCATTTTATTCGTCACATTCACTGCTCTGCCACTAAAAGTGCGTGGGCTCCGGCCATCACTGTTCTCTTGCAGTTGCAGGTCACTTCTTTTAACTCCTAGTTGTGGTCCACCATCATAACTTCATTCCACACTTTGAATGTTTCCATTTGGGGGGGGGGGGGGGGGGGGGGGGGAAATCACAGGCAGCAATTATTTGCAGAATCACCATTATCATTATGCACACTTGCTGTCCTTCTATTCTATACACTGATGAATGATCACCGTCTTCTTTAATTCTGCTGTAATGCTCCTAATCCGCTACCTACGTACTTTCACAACCCGTCGGACGAACGAGAAGTTGGGTTTACCTTTACCGCCGGGGACGAAGCTGGACGGCTTCTTGTTGCTGCCGATGATTCTCAAACTCTGCCGCAGAATGTCTGCCTCCCGTGCCCTGTTGAACTCTTCCCGCTCCGCGGCAACGAGTCTCGCTTTCAGATCGTTTATCGTCTCTTCCTTCAACTTCAGTTCCATCTTCAGCTCCTGTATCATCAAGTTTTCTTCTTCCTCTGCTGCTCTGCGGTACATCAATCCACCTCCTGAAATAACATTTTGTTTGAATGTAAGTTAAAACCAGGTAGGGAAGATTGGTTTGGTTTATCATCATATGATCCGTAAGAAAATGATAAAAGTTCCATAATTAAATATTATGCAGATCATCGAAACAGTGAGACCAATTGATTTATGATATGGTATTATTAATTAGAACTGATTTGATCAAGTGACCGTGTGTTCATTATCCACGACATCCAATATTAACACTTGATTTAAGCATTTGTGGACAAGTACAAACTTCGAGCACGTGAGTTTATATATAAAATACATAACTAATCTTAACTATACTATGACCCAACGTTTAGATACCCTACAATACCGACTAGTTAGATCAGAAATACCAGATACTAAACACCAAACAATAGGCAGACAGTTTTAGCAAATACAAAACGAATGAAGCATGATTGAGCATCAATTTTAGTACAAAATACATTAACACTACCTTTTTTCGATGTAATTTCCCATACGATTTCAAAATCATTGCTACGGTCACACCAGGATGCTAAAGTTTCGTCCTTTCTCTTTCAGGAGTTTGAACCAGATGGGAACAAAATGCGAAATGGCCAGAGTCTGAAACCGCAACTAACTCATGGCCATCCATATGTCATTTAGCACCATCGGAATATGCGAGTGACTTTCATGAAAACCTATTTTTCTTTTGTCTCTACTTTATATGGGTGTTATTTTGTCAAAAGGAGCCGTCACCTCCACTGCAGGAACAGTAGAATAAGTGAACAATGAAAAATACAGAGGAAGAGAGATGGGACATTTGAATGTTAGATGAGATGAGATGATATAACTCCTCCCACCTATTAAAAAAAACTGGTTGATTTATGGTGAGATGACAACACTGAGTTTTATAAAATCACAAGTGGTTCCACAGAACCCAAAAAGACCATGTCAAGCCTAGCCATGATAAGAACAGAGAACAGTAGTATCTTACTATGCACTGAACTGCAAGGCTCAAAAAGATTGGAACTTGAAATTCATTCATGGTTATGTTATGTATAATGAAATTGCAGCCATGAGAGGCAGAGAAAGGGAAAGAGATGGAACCAATTACCAGGATGAGTGTTCTGAATGAGATCATCAAGCTCGGATTTGATGGCAAGGTAGAGCTTCTTCCATTTATCGGCAGCAGCATCTCTGAGTGCCCTCTCCTCCCTCATCTGCTGCAGCAAGAAGTTAGTGGCTGTCCCACCTGAGAGTTGCCATTGCCAATATGCATTACATTCTTCTTCTTCCTCCACATTTTGTTTACATTCTTCCACCATCTTGTTCCCACCACCTAATTCCAACCCTTTGACAATCTCTTCTTTCTCTTCCACGAGCTTCTTCAGCCTCTTCACTTCCTCCTTGAGCTTCCTCTTCTCTTGCTTCCACTCTGCTTCCTTGAATGCAAAAACCATGAAATCCCTCTCATAGGCTTTGCTCTGTTTCTCTCTGTCGTACATGATTGCTTCCAACTCCTCTTCCAGTAGCTTCACTCTCTCTCCTTCTTTAGCACTGCTGCCTTTCTTCTTCCCGGCAAAGCAAATCATGGCGGCTACCCTGTTCTTAGGTCTTGGTGGAGTCCAATGAAGAAAAAGGAAGAGATAGATTAATTTAAGAGGGGAGACGAAGAAGTACTGGAATTTTGGGTTGTTCTTGTGGTTTATTATTAGTAGCCAGCTAGCTAGAGTAGAGGTGAAGGTGTTGGTTATATGGTTTGTTTGTTTGTTTGTATTTCAGAAGAGAGAAGTGTGTGATTGACATGAATTCTTTAGCTCATGGGCTCCCTCTTTCATCAATCAATGAAGAGATGGGATTCTACCAACGAAAATGAAAGAGATGGGACATGGGAGCATGGAGTAGTCGGCCTATCCGGGAAAGTAGCACCACTTCTTCTACATAAACATATTTTTTTGGTAGAAAAGTGGGACGCTAAAGCCTGATACTTAAATTAAACGAATTTGGACAACGCCCATTGAGTCATACAAAAGCCAAAAGTTTAGCCCGGAGTCATTAGACTCTAAAACATGAAAGCCTAAACAAGGAAAGTGGTCTTTATTAGCTAAGTAATCAGCCGCCTTGTTTCCTTCTCTGAACGTGTGAGAGATACGAATCTCCCAATTTTGTCGGATGAGCCTCTGGAACTGCCTCCAAAAGCAATGATAACGGCCTTCATACGACCCAAGTGATGTCATTATGTTGAGAAACATATTATTTAGGTATGAGCCATGTATAATAATACTAATTGTTAATTTTGAACAATAATTGTTAAAATTTGTGAACGAGGTTTATGTTACTTTGTTTTACAAATTGTAACAACTACAAACTAACTTATTTTGAAACCACATTAGCTTATGCCTTATAGTTGAAACCGGTCTTAAACCACACATAAAATAGAGAATGGATAGTGTTGAGCATATGAAAATGAAAAAGGGCATCATTATGATTGGAAAAGAATGGAGAAAAGAAAAGTCATTTACAATGATTAGCGGAAAGCAATCATTTGAGAGTTGCGTTGAAATCAAATTATCATGTTTCATTTTTCCGTCAAACGAGTCACTTGTATCAAACGAATAATGCGGATAACCATGAGATGCTAAAAAGAAGTGCTTATATAGAAATTAAGATACTAAAAGGAATATACATAATACAAGGATATATATCTATATCTGAATCATGCACAATCTCGATCGACTCTAAACAACAAAACAAAAAAAGCTTTATGAAAGTGCTAATAAAACAACAATCGTCTCTTCTAATGATGCTGCTAACTTTCGTATCCGAACGAGAAAAAACGACGGAAACTATCGAAGAATGTCGAGGCATATCCACCCTGGAATAATAAGTAACACATGTTAGTGTTGTGGTATATGATTCACGATTGAACCTCTCCCAACAACTCGAGTTATTGGGATCAACTAGTTCTTGACAACACATATGTGGATTTCTGACAAAGTGATGGCACCACCATTTCGGCCACTTTAATTTATTTACTTACTATTAATTAGTAGGATAGGATTATTTGTTGGAGGAAATGTGAAGCATAATGGTTACATTTTCCAGAGTGCATGGATCAATTATGAGCCTGCCTCCACAACCTTCAAGTTTGGTCCCACGTCACAAGGAGGATCGAGGGCAAGTACTAGTGTTTCCTTTTGTATGTTTTGTTTGTGCATTCTAATCTCTTTTTAGACTATACTAGGATATAGCGTCAAGAAAGAATTCTTCGGCTCGGAGATTTTTCGCTCCGAAAGTTTAGGAGCGGCGATTTGTGAGCGACGGCTAGTTCTCTAGGGTTTTCTCGCGCTTCCTCGCCGGCGGTGGCTTCACCGCTGGCTGGGGTCATCATGGACACAAGTATGGAACCTGAAACGATGGCAGGCCAGCGCAGGCCTCCAACTGCGTCCTCCTCACCAAATCCGAAAGGAGATCGTGAGGCTCAGCAGACCAAGAAGAGAGCGAAGCAAACCACGGATAGTTTGGAGACGGATGATAGCGGAGATACGGCTTCGACGAAAACGCCCCCAGCATCCCATGGTACGAATGCCCAGGCAAGGCCTCAACCGGCTGCTTGGGGTGCGGGGACCGGAACGGCGAGAAGACTTTTTAGCGACACGGTTAGAACTGATATGTGGTATGTTGCTGATTCAGACTCGGAGGATGTCACGACCGCTATACGTCAGGATGGCCTCGAAGCGGGTTTTGATGATGAGTTTGATCCCAAGTGCCCTTCGATCCAATTTACGGCCGCGGAGGAAAGGCTATTATGTCGGAACTGGCGATCTGCACTAGTGGTAAAAGCCTTGGGAAGATCAGTCTCGTACACTCTTATGCTGAAGCGATTGCAAACCATTTGGGCCAAGGCTGGAGCTATACAGGTCACCTCGGCTAAGAATGGCTATTTTTTGGTGCGGTTTACTAGTGGAGTTGACTATGAAAGAGCGGTTACAGGTGGGCCATGGCTAGTCGGGGACAACTACCTCACGGTACACCCCTGGACGAACGATTTCGATCCCTATAACCACGAGATCTCATCAACGTTAGTTTGGGCTCGACTGTTGGAGATGCCAATCCAGTACTTTCACCCTGTCGCAGTTATGAAGATAGCCCAACGCATCGGGAAACCTATTCGAGTTGACCATGCAACGAGTATGGGAGCACGTAGTGACTATGCTCGTGTCTGTGTCCAAGTGGATATAACGAAACCTCTTCTGTCTCAGTTTACAATACATGGCAAGAAGTACTACATTCAATATGAGGGCCTAGAAAATATCTGCTTGCAATGTGGTACCTACTCTGCCCGATCCCGGTGTTCATGTTCAATCCCGAAAGAAGATATGCAAGCCGAGGAGCCTGGAAATGCTCGGGCGACTCCGGCTGTGGAGGAACCCACTGGACTATATGGTGAATGGATGATTGCGAAACGACGCCCACGAACGAAAAAGGCTGCGGGACATAACCAGGGGGGGAATAACACTAGTAATGAGAAAAGGCAGAAGAATGTGGAAGGCTCGGGTTCCCGCTTCGACGTACTATCGGAGGAGGAGATGGAACCTGTGAGCACTACGCTGGGGGAAGAAGGGGGTAAGGAGGCACCTGTGGATGTGAATGTGCGGAAGCCTCAAGCAAAGGGTACAGCTGCAAAGGAATCACGGCGGGCAGTGGGGGAAGTGAGGGTGGTGAATGAGCCTACCCAAGAGTGCATTATTGAGAGGGGACCTGCTAAAGATATGGGCAATGAGATACCTCATCAGATTCCAAGGCCCACGTTGACCAATGACAAGGCTGGCTTCAGCATGCATGGCATGCAAAAATCTCATGGTATGACTAAGGTGGGCACGGTAATAACAGGGAAAGAAAACAATCAGCAGGAGAGGAGGGCTCAGCCCAAGCCACCTGACTTACATATGAGGGATCCTCTGGCAGATAGAGACGGACGGATAGTGAATATGGTGAATGAACAGGCAAATGAGAATATTTTGGAAAGCCCTGTGGGTAGCCTCGGTCACGAGGCTGACACAGCCTAACCATCTATGTGCTTCATCGAAGTCCTCGCTCCATCTCGTATTAATGGTTAATATTTTTACATGGAATTGCAGAGAGCAGGGAGTAAGCGCTTCCTGAGGGTTTATAAAGAATACAAACGAAGGTATTCTCCGAGTATTACCATTATAGTGGAACCACGAATTAGTGGCGACAGAGCGACAAAAGTCGTTGAGAAGTTGGGGTATGACAAATACCTCGTGGTTGATGCGGTGGGTTTTGCGGGGGGTATCTGGTTAGCTTGGGACTCTGGTGTGGTCACGATTACCGAATCAGATAGATCTTCGCAATTCCTCCATGTCCATGTACAGTCTGGTCTACAAAGTTGGTTTCTTACTGCGGTTTATGCCAGCCCGACACTCATTCAGCGTCGGGTTCTTTGGAATTCATTTCGATCGATAGCGGAAGATATGGAGGAGCCGTGGCTTCTTGCCGGTGATTTTAACTCCATTCTCCAGCCAAATGATAAGTTTGGAGGTGCGCCTTTTGATGCCAGTCGTGCTAGTGAGTTCCAAGACTGTGTGTTGGACGCAGGCTTGGTAGATTTGGGATTCACAGGTCCACCCTTCACCTGGTTTCGGGCAGGGATGAAAGAACGTCTAGACAGAGGGCTCGTTAATGCAGCCTGGGCGTCGAGTTTCCCGGACGCCACAGTTTGCCATCTTCCCCGGGTAAGAAGTGATCATCGCCCGCTCCTTCTCAAATTGTGCCCGACTTTTCAGGCTGCAGGACCGAAGCCTTTCAGGTTCCTGGCTGCCTGGCTGACGCATGATGATTTTGAGGAGATGGTAACTCGCTCCTGGGATCGGGGAAATGACCTTGTTTCATCTATTGAGGAGTTCACCAAGGAAGCTAGGGAGTGGAATGCCAACGTGTTCGGGCATATCTTGAAGAAGAAAAAGGCACTGATGGCCAGAATCGAGAGACTCGAGGAAAGGTTTGGCGGAGATTCTGATGATGTAGGGCTACGGCATGCCCGAGAGGAGCTGGAGGATATATTGCTGCAGGAAGAATTACTATGGTGTCAAAAATCTTGCCTGGAATGGATTGCCTCTGGGGATCGCAACACTAAATTTTTCCATGCGAGAACAATGGCTAGGCGGCGACGGAACAGGATCACGTCCCTGAAAGATAATCTGGGAGTTTGGGTGGAGGATCAGGCTATTCTGTTGGAGATGGCTAGGCAGTTCTTTGAAGCTCTGTACACTGATGATGGGGAGCCGGTACACCCCCTACCGGCTTCGTTCCCTCAAATTTCGACTGATTGTTGGCTGCCGCTTGCCAGCGTTATCACTTTAGAAGAAATCTCATGGGCTGTGAAGGCTATGGGACCGATGAAGTCCCCAGGTCCGGACGGGCTGAATCCACTCTTCTTCCAGAGGAATTGGAATGTGGTGGGATCGAAAGTGCTGAAATTTGTGGAAGATTGCTGGGCGGATCCGGCAAAGATTGGTGAGGTCAATGCTACGGTTGTAGCACTCATCCCTAAAGTGGGGCAGCCAACAATTATTGAGCAATTCCGGCCCATAAGCCTCTGTAACGTGACTTATAAGATGATCACGAAGTGTCTGGCAGAAAGGCTCAAACCATTAATGCCCAGATTAGTGCACGAGACCCAGACAAGCTTTGTCCCGGGCCGCCACATTACTGACAACATTTGTGTTTTGCAGGAAGTAGTTCATTCCATGCGTGCTAAGAAGGGAAAGAAGGGTTGGATGGTCCTCAAAGTCGATCTGGCTAAAGCTTATGACCGCATAAAATGGAGTTTTGTTCGTGAGACTCTGGAGACAATGGGAGCCCCGCCGGGCTTCACGGAAGTTGCTATGAAGTGCATTTCATCCGCGACTATGCAGATCCAGTGGAATGGCGGCCTGACTGCAGCTTTTTCACCCTCGAGAGGGCTGAGACAAGGCTGTCCGCTGTCGCCATACATTTTCACCCTTTGTATGGAGAGATTGGGACACCGTATCACGGCGGCGGTGGAGCGAGGAGAGTGGAGGACGATTCAGCTTTCTCACGAGGGACCTCGTCTCTCACACCTATTTTTCGCTGACGATTTGATTTTATTGGGGGAGGCTTCCCTGTCGCAGGTGCAGAGTATCTTGGCTTGCCTGGAGGAGTTCGGAGGGGCCTCGGGTCAGCAAGTCAATCGAGCGAAGTCGAGGGTTTATTTCTCAAAGAATGTCACTAGCACGGAGGCCAGCATATTGAGCGATGCCCTGGGCATTCCAGCTACGGCAAACCTGGGTCGATACTTGGGAGTGCCAGTCATCCACGACCGCGTCTCAAGGGCGACCTATACTGATCTAATTGATCGAATCGACACTAGGTTGGCGGGCTGGAAGGTCAGATCCCTCTCCCTGGCGGGTCGCATTACCTTGGCCCAGTCGGTCCTCTCTTCTCTTCCAGCTTACACGATGCAGACATCATGGCTCCCAGCTGCAGTTCGTGACTACATTGATAAGAAAATTCGAGGGTTCATATGGGGAAGCTCGGAGCAGGGAAGGAAAATTCATCTCATTGACTGGGACACGCTGTGTTCACCAAAGGAGGAGGGGGGTCTGGGGCTGCGCAACGCCACTCGGATGAATGAAGCCTTTATGATCAAGATTGCTTGGCGGTTGCTTACGGAGCAAGACAGTCTGTGGGCGCAAGTAATCAGAGGAAAGTATTTGAGGAGAACCGAGAATGGTTGGAGGGCTAGGGAAGAGGGACGTTTATCTAATCTATGGAGAGGAGTTATTCGGGTCTTGCACTTTATTCCGGAGGGTACCATGTGGAACGTTAACAGTGGATTGCAGGTCCGCTTTTGGACCGATAGATGGCTCACGGATGGTCAACCTCTGGCCATGTTTGCTCATGGACTCCCCGAGGCAGCGAGAGACCTCACCGTTGCCGAGATGGTGCTCAATGAGGACTGGAATCTGCCCTTCATTCGAGCGTTTCTCCCTGAGGAAGTAGTGGCCCAGCTATGTTTGCACCCTATTCCGGTTGGGAACAGCCCCGATACACCGTTTTGGCGCTACTCAGAGTCGGGGAAGTTCACGTTAAAAACAGCGTACGAGCTAACGGGATCGGGTGTTAATAATGGCCAGCCGGAGCCGATTTGGAAGAAGACTTGGAGACTTCAGGGGCCTCAGCGAACGAAAACGTTCCTGTGGCTAGCGCTGCATGGACGCCTCCTTACTAATGTTGAACGAACCCGCCGCCATCTAGCTCAGTCGAGCCACTTCCCAGTTTGTGGAGAGGGGCCTGAATCGGTTATCCATGTTCTTCGAGACTGCCCCTATGCCAGAGGAGTTTGGTCGTATGTGTTGAAGGATGAACCGGATGTGAATTTCTTCGAACAGGACACGAGACGTTGGTTCATGCATTACCTTAGTGGGAGAGGGGTAGCGCTAGATGCCTCTCTTTTCGGCATCATTTGTTGGAAGCTATGGCAAAATAGGAATGATTGGGTGTTTAATGAAACCATTGCCCCTATGGAAGGATTAGCGGTGAGGGCCCGATTTATCAAGGAGCAGACGGATAATGCTTTCGCCAAAGCTCAAGGGATTATCGACGACACTGGAAGGCGGACGGTTCGGATGATCAGCTGGCAACACCCCCCGTCGGGTTGGATAGCAGTTAACACGGATGGTTCGGTGATCCCGGCTCTGGGTATAGCTACGGCTGGCGGAGTTATAAGAAATAACGAGGGAAGATTTTTGCAGGCTTTCTCTGTCAACTTGGGCGGCGGTTCGATCATGCACGCCGAGCTAGCTGGAATTGCCCAAGGCCTGCGAAGTGCATGGGAGTCAGGAGCGCGTAAGGTTAAGCTGCAGACCGACTCGGCGGCAGCTATATCTCTTCTACAGTCAGATCAGGTAAATCACCCCCACTACACGATGACGGCGGCTATTCGAAATCTGTTGGCAAGAGACTGGGAGGTCAGTATTGATCATGTATTCAGGGAGGGGAATTATGCTGCTGATTATATGGCGTCTGTTAGCCATGATCTTCCGGTTGGTATTCATTTGTTCGATGTGCCGGACCCTCGGCTGAGCTACTGGCTGATGTATGACCTTGTTGGGGTTCAGATGCCCCGTTCGATTAATATATAAGGGTTAGAGCGCCCCTCTGCGCTCTGTTTACAACCAAAAAAAGGATATAGCGTCAAGAATTAGTTTGATTGCAATAATTTGAGTTTTTGAAAGCAGCAGTGGAGTTATCTTTATTGGGCTGTGTCACATAACACTATTAAAATTTAGGGTAAATACAATATATTAGTCATAACTATTAAGCAGCGGGGAATTATAGTTACAACTACCAAAATTAGCCAACCGTTAAGTCTTCGTTAACACTTCTGTTAGTAATGGTGACTAGGCTTTTACGATGCTAAGCTGGCTCCCACGTGGCAGTCATCATAAAATATTTTTTATAATGCTGAGTTGTCTCCCACGTGGCATCATATAATATTTTTACGATGCTGACATGACCTCCTCTGTTAAAAATTTGAAAATAGTAACAGGCTGTTAGCCAAATCTTGACCCGCAACAATAGTTATGACTAATAATTTGTATTTCGATAGTCGTGGCTATAATTCCCTGCTGCTTAATAGTTATGACTAATATATTGTATTTACCTTAAATTTTTTAAAAAAATTATTAACCATAGAAAGATTTAGAAGTAGCATTTGAATACTAGAGGTTTATATAATATGAGAAGTTTTCACCTAAGAATATATCCTATGAATGTTTTTCCCCACTCATTTTCTAATACGAAAAAAATACAGCATGGTTGTTTGTACAAAAGAAACTCTGTATTAATAAAGTATTCCTTTTCTTTTATGAACGATTATGTGAATATTAATTTATAAAATATTATATATTTATTCATATATTTACATTGTGTAAACGATACGTCTGTTTTAACCTTTTGGTTCAGCCACTGTTCGGTAGTAATATTTGACCGGTAATATTGATCTCCGGAATGTGAGGGAGGAGGACGAAGAAGCAGTTAGTTTACTATCAGTCTTTCAGAAACTCGTATTAATAAAGTATTCTTTTTCTTTTATGAACGATTACGTGAATATTAATTTATAAAATCTTATATATTTATTCATATATTTACATCTTATAAACGACACGTCTGTTTTAACCTTTTGGTTTAGCCACTGTTTGGTGGTAATATTTGACCGGTAATATTGATCTCCGGAATGTGAGGGAGGAGGACGAAGAAGCAGTTAGTTCACTATCAGTCTTTCAGAAACTCGTATTAATAAAGTATTCTTTTTCTTTTATGAACGATTACGTGAATATATATAAAATCTTATATATTTATTCATATATTTACATCGTGTAAACGACATGTCTGTTTTAACCTTTTGGTTCAGCCATTGTTCGGTGGTAATATTTGACCGGTAATATTGATCTCCGGAATGTGAGGGAGGAGGACGAAGGGGCAGTTAGTTCACTATCAATCTTTCAGATACATGATCACATAGATCAAAAACAAGACCACATTTATGGCTGAAATGGTCTTTGGATTCCCTGCCTTGAAAATGACTACTAGTTTGTGAATTTCCGATCCACAGTGTCTGTAGGACTATTATCACCATAAATCCTTTCTTGGGGGCGGCCGGGTTCTTGATAAGCATGTACACTGTTTGCCCACATCGGCAAGAGTACTCCATCTCATCTCCATGACATCGTTTCACGTTGTGTCCAATGCTCCCTACCACGACGTCGTTTCAAGACTACTCAGTGTCGTTCGCTTCTGTCGTCTCTCCAAGTCAATCGAAGAACATCGATTTTTCAAGATCTTCCTTTCTCCCTTTTCGCTTCACCTTTTTCTCGCTCACAGGTCGGCTTAACACTCATGGCTAGGTCGTGTAGATTTCTATTAGAAAACGATCACTTGCTTCCTCTCTATTTACGCCGCACTCAGCTGATTGTAAGAACTTGACAGTTTTACAGAGAGATTAGGTTGATAGGGATCTTCTGTATTGAGTCCAGTTTTCTTCTTCACTGGCTCGATTCATTGTGGGTTTTGAATCGAGCTAGAGAAGTTGATTAGTAAATTGTTTTGTTGCTATTTAAGAAAAAATCATTGTCTGATTTCTTCTTAGGGTTTGATGAGAGATCACTGGAAATTCTTCGCTGTAAATTATCCACTCATCGCAAAATGCAAACAAGCGAGTCGTATAGTAGAATCAAAGTACAGTCGCTTATGAAAACCTCAAGTTAGGGACTCCATATTTGCGATCTCAAATATTGTCTACTGTCCAATACCTAGTGGCATAGCCAGTATTTTGTCGAGAGTGGGTCAATTTAGAAAAAAAAATACATATGATAAAATAGATTTGTTAGATTGTTAAATAATTAATGATATAATTTTATATTTACAAAAATTTGGTAAATAAAATATATGTCAAAACTATCAAGAGTATCACTCTATATGTATCAAATAATTATTCATGATTTCGTTACACATTTGCTTTTGAATGGTCTTCTTTGTCAAGACCATTTAATAATGGACCTTATACAATTTAGCATTTACTAACACTTCCCCACTAACAAAACCAACTTATATGTGCTTAAAGTTTTCAAAAATCCGAATATCATCTGATTAACAAATGGGGTGGCCAAGATTCGAACACATTATCTCTCGGTCAAGCATTCTCAATTAGAAGTGCTCTAAATTTCATTCTCAATTAACTATTATGCTAATTAAATCATTTTTGTCCTTAACAGCCACCTGATACACTCTCCCTACCCCTAATTGAAATAAAATTATTTTTACTAATTAACTATGATTTGTTGCAAATTTGTTGAAGATATTGAATAAATACATCTTTGATTTTGGGTGGATCATATGCATCATCGTCCTTTGTATATAACTCGTTGTACAAATATTGAATATGCCAATACACAATTTATAAACCATACATCAAATTCAAATATTTGAAAGATAAAATATTCTCATTTAAATGCATGTTAATTTTCATACACAATTACCTACTACACCTAATTTATCATTTTCCTTCTCCAACCAGGTGAGTCCGGGGGCGGGGCCCACCTCCAACCCTCTCTCTCCGCCCCTGCCAACACCTTAGTTTTTGTAACTTATGGTGATTTTCTGCGGAGCCATATCTACCACACGAACCTGCTTCAAATACTAGCTAGTCTTAAGTTAATTTATTTTATCTCGACCAATTCCACATAGTAAGCACTTCGAATAGGGAAAATTTGGAGAAGCTTGATTAAAGCAAAGGACGAAATAGTGGATGGCTTTCGATGGAGAGTGGGGGATGGGGAGAGTATAAAGGTTTGGGATGACTGGTGGATTCCAAATATGAAAAAACCCTTACCAATCCAACAAGATAACGAGACCAGGGATAATCTCAGGGTTAGTTCCCTTATTGACAGGGATAATGGATGGTGGGATATTCCCAAATTGAGATCCCTCTTCTCTACTAATGATCGACTGAGATTATGAAAATTCCCCTGAGGAATCCCCCTATGAATGCTATTGTGGTGTGGTCTGAAGCAGATAATGGAATCTACAGCGTGAAAACAGCATACAGGAGTCTATGGCAGAAAGAACACCCTAGTGTGGATGAAGACAACTCGGAATCCCAAAGAATAAGAAGCTACTGGAGGAAAATCTGGCGTCTCCCTGTTCAACCTAAAGTCAAAATCTTCTTATGGAGAATAAGCAGAGATATCTTACCAGTTGGGACTAATGTGGAAAGCAGGATTGAAGAAGCTCCGTCGGATTGCCCCTTCTGTGGTCTTCCTGAGACCTAACTCCACTGTCTGAGAGATTGTGACTGGACCAGGCGGCTATGGCAACCATGCAGTGATAACGAAATCTTCAAGCAGGGGGAAGGTCTTTCGGGCAGGGATTGGTTCCTTAAAGCCTTTGAATCCCACTCTGACGCGAACCTCCAAAGGTTTTGTGCTATCCTCTGGTTCATCTGGAAAGAAAGATGCAACCATATGTTCAATAATAAGAAGCTGGACGCGGAGGAGATCATTCCTAAAGCTCTTGATTGGCTATCGGATTACCTTCAGGCTCAGGGCACGGTGTCTGCGACCACGAATCACCCAAGCAATCCTCAGGGCTGGAGACCTCCACTGACCGGATCTATCAAGATGAACAGCGACGCAGGAGTCTTAAGGCCGAACGGATTGGATTGGGCTGTGTGTTTAGAGATTGGAAGGGGGATTTTCTTGGTGCGGTTGCGGGGAAGGAATCGGGCACATGCAGACCAGTGGAAGCTGAGGCAAGAGCAATAGCAGCTGGACTACGAGGAGCAAATCGCAGAGGCTGGAGTCTGTTGATTGTTGAATCGGACTGTATGAAATTGCTGCAGATGCTGGGCAAAGGAGATGAGGATCGCACAGAGCTGGAGATTTGGTGCAAGGAGATAAGGGAGCTGGCTTCCATCAACGAAGCTTTCTCGGGCAAAAAGGTTGAATGGGCTTTTGTCCCTAGGAAATCTAATGCTGTGGCCCACTGTTTAGCCCACTTGGATGGTTTTTGGGATCAGATCTGTATCTGGACTGATAGTCCACCTTACTCCATCAGGAGTCTCCTTGAGGCCGAAAAAGCCCAACTTGTTTGATTCTCTTAATAATATAACAGGGCTTCTTATAAAAAAAAAAAGAATAGGGAAAATTTTGTAAATCTCTCCATAGTTATAATATACATCATTGATTACTCCACACTTAATGTGGAATGACAGTATTATTCGATGTCTTCAACTTTAGAAGTTTTGATGTGGTGACTTGCAATTCACAGTAACATGGACAAAACAATTAATAAGACGATATTGTTACAACAGGACTTAATAAGTACAAATGAGAAGAATGGTTCACGTATGATGTGGTCGCCTGATGACACAACCACACATTACAATTAAACAATGGTCAGTTTGTTGGCCATCATTACCTTATTAGTGTTGGAATAGTTTTCCATCGGTAGAAATGTTTCATCGCTAAACAAGGAATTGTTGCCACTTAACCTGAGTTAGTAGAACCATAAACCTCTATAAATAACCATCGGTGTTATGAGTTTGTCAGTCTCTAAAACTTGTCTACACAAATTCTTGTGATTT